GGAGATATGAGGTTTTGTTCCGACAACAGCGATATGCTGGTTTTGCTGGTGACCATCCATGCTAGCAGGTACATTGTTTTACAATCGTTTTGAGATCAGATTTTAGCCTTAAATTTTTTTTTGGTGTTGGTGGAGTCACACAGGGCATTATGTGGCTCACGCTAGGCATCATAAGGCAATATAGTCCCAAGTGAACACCTATTTTCTTCAGATTTATCACTGTTTTGCTATTGTCAACATCATGTATAAAAACTCAGAAGACACATGCAGGTTTACCACATTCTGGATAGTGCAGAAGTCATGACCATTATGCATTAAACCACTCGGAATGACTTTGTTTACATTGCAACAACTGAATCTTGCAGAAATTTTGAACAAACTGTGGAATTCCCAGTGCAGCTCAGATATTTGACTCGTCAAAAAGACATTCAGGTAATGTTCTTTTTAATCTTTTATGTTGGAGTTTTGAGTATTAAGTTAAATATTTGAATGTATTCCTGTCTCTGGATATTACTGGCTGGTTAGCGTGTTAGCACATTAGCTCATTAGCTGGGTCAGCCTACTTTAATGAAGGCAAACCGTAGTCCAGTTACAGAGAATATAAAATATGAGCCAGATAAAGCTGTTAAGAGTGGTTTTGGTTTACGTTTGCAACATTAGCTCTGTTTTTATGTGTAGTTTTGTACATTGGCTTTGATTTACTTCATCATGTAGCCTTGTGGTCATAGAGAATGAGTTAGATGTTATTGAGCTCCACAGCAACCCCTGTTCTTGGCATGCTTTACTCAGCCAATGAGCAGCTCAACTTGCTGATCAATCAGCACTCAGTAGCAGTAATGTTAACCGGTCAGCAGTCAGTAGCAGTAATGCTAATCAATCAGCAGTCAGTAGCAGTAATGCCAACCAATCAGCACTCAGTAGCAGTAAAGCTAACCAATCAGCACTCAGTAGCAGTAATGCCAACCAATCAGCACTCAGTAGCAGTAATGCCAATCAATCAGCATTCAGTAGCAGTAATGCTAACCAATCAGCATTCAGTAGCAGTAATGCCAACCAATCAGCACTCAGTAGCAGTAATACTAACCAATCAGCACTCAGTAGCAGTAATACTAACCAATCAGCAATCAGTAGCAGTAATGCTAACCAATCAGCATTCAGTAGCAGTAATGCCAACCAATCAGCACTCAGTAGCAGTAATACTAACCAATCAGCACTCAGTAACAGTAATACTAACCAATCAGCACTCAGTAGCAGTAAAACTAACAAATCAGCACTCAGTAGCAGTAATACTAACCAATCAGCATTCAGTAGCAGTAATGCTAACCAATCAGCACTCAGTAGCAGTAATACTAACCAATCAGCGCTCAGTAGCAGTAATGTTAACCAATCAGCACTCAGTAGCAGTAATACTAACAAATCAGCACTCAGTAGCAGTAATGCAAACCAATCAGCACTCAGTAGCAGTAATACTAACCAATCAGCACTCAGTAGCAGGAATGCTAATCAATCAGCATTCAGTAGCGGTAATACTAACCAGTCAGCACTCAGTAGCAGTAATGCTAACCAATCAGCACTCAGTAGCAGTAATACTAACAAATCAGCACTCAGTAGCAGTAATACTAACCAATCAGCACTCAATAGCAGTAATACTAACCAATCAGCATTCAGTAGCAGTAATGCTAACCAATCAGCATTCAGTTGCAACTAGAGAAAGAAAGCATTGAAATAGCAATGGAAGTCTATGGGCTGAAAAACAAGGGATGAAAAAAGAAGGGCTAAAGAAGGTGAAGAGGTGTGGAAAGCAGATGAGTGCTTTGCATCAGTGGCCAGTGTCTCCATGGCAAGTCTGGTGGCTCTGGCTTTAGAAGTGCTGAAATATGTGCAGCTGGACAAACGTCCCATGTAAGTCTATGGGGAAAAGAAGATGGAGGGATGAAAAGAGAGATGTGAGCAAGCCTCTTTCTAACCAACCAAAACAGTGTGAAACTTGACGTTTTCTGGAAAGTTCTGAGGGATTAGCTTTAAAACTGCTTGAAAACGTGCTCCAGTAATAATAATAATAATTTTATGATGATGATGATGATGATTATTATTATTATTATTATTATTATTATTATTGTTGTCATTATTATTAGCTTTAAAACTGCTTGAAATTGCTATAATAATAATAATAATAATAATAACAATAATAATAATAATACAATTACTATTACTATTATTATGCCTTGTTAGTTATTAATACTAGTTATTGCTACTACTAGCTAATGATACTAACAGCTAAACACCTGAGAGAGAGATAGAGTGAGAGAGTGAGAGAAACAGAGAGTGAGAGAGAGAGAGAAAGAGAGAGAGAGAATGAGAGAGCGTGAGAGAAACAGAGAGTGAGAGAAACAGAGAGTGAGAGAGAGAGTGAGAGTGAGAGAGAGTGAGAGAGCGTGAGAGAAACAGAGAGTGAGAGAAACAGAGAGTGAGAGAGAGAGAGTGAGAGAGAGAGTGAGAGAGAGAGAGAGAGAGAGAGAGAGAAAGAGAGAGAGAGAGAGAGAGAGAGAGAGAGAGAGAGAGGGAGGGAGAGAGAGGGTGAGAGAGAGAGAGAGAGAGTTTTGGTACCTTGACCTGATTATCACTGTGCAGGAGAAGCCTTATGGACTTTCGCCACCTAGTGGCAGAATTTAAAAGTCAATGTTTGTTCTTATGTGAATACCGTTTGAACAAACAGGCACTTTCTTGTTTCTTCATTGTGTAAAGAATGTATATAGAGAAATACAGCTTGTTCCACATGCTGGTGAATACTCGTGATTATTAGAACTGATATATTTGATGTATTTTGATGATGAGGTTAAAATGATGCTTTTTGTTTTGCATTATTATTTAATGAAACTATATTGATGATGTGCCCTGGAGCGTGGTAGAGGGAAGTCTCTTCACTTCTTTGGTTTTCAGTCAAAGTCGGATTTGTAGTCCTCGTAGTTTGTAGTCCTACAAGTTCAATCAAAGGTCATTTGCTTCACTGCCAATTAAATTATGGCAAAATAAAAGTCCTATCTCAGCCTCAAACTAAAAATGGCAGATGTATAAAAGGTAAAATAGTCCCTGTATTTGCAGGAGCTTATGGTCAGAGCCAAACTTAAACACCATAGTGAATTATTCTCTTCTCAAAATATCTACATTCACATTTTCAGAACAATGTGATTCTACAAATATTTGACTACAAAAGGCATTTGAACTCTGTTCTAATTAAAAGTCCCCTTTCCTATATAGATTTCCTAGAACCATATATTCAGATCCAGGGTGCTGTGGAGTCAAGTGCTGCTATTAAAATCTTGATTAACATAGAATAAATAAAGTACCAGCACAAAACTGTAGTTGGATGTCAGACATCATCTGTTTTCGTCTAACACAGCATGAAGACTCAGCAACCCAACTGTATCTATTTGTGCTCATATTATGATAAAATGTGACATTATATAATATAACATTGTGGCCGCTGCCACACGTTCCATGTTTCAAGAAGGGGCTTTGGAGACGACAGCTGCTGTAAAAGGGATTTAAAATGCGGTTGTTTCATGTTTCTAATGTTGTTCATTGGGTTAAGGTGTGTGTACATGTTGTTAGTGTTATTTTGTGTCAGGCTGTAGTGAGATGGTGGTGGTGGTGGTGGGAGGGGGCGGTGGTGTGCCTTCCATGAGGACAAACTGTATGACTAGAATTGACCTGCCGTTTATGTGTGTGCCTTTTCTGCTGGTGTAAATAAAGAGCACTACTCATGGAAGAAATAATGACCTCTCTTGTGTCTTATTTTAAGCTGATGCCACACTGGTGTCAGAAGTGGGATATTGCCCGCCCCCAAGTAGAAGAAGAGAAAAAGGTGGAAGAGAAACTGACAAAAGTGACAGTGAGGCTTCGTGGCAGCAAAAGAAGCAGCGCAGCCAGGCTCAGCAACAGAGACGGTTAAAGAAACAGCACTGGGGGGGCTCAGTGACAGAGTCCCGCTGGAGCCTGGTAAGAAGGAGACTGCACACATCCATCTCCTGCGCTGCAATGGCACGAATGCCAGGGAACCGTCCTCCACACGCAGCTGCAAGTGGTCACCCAGCGTCATGGCTGGACGGCGGTTGTCACTGTGATTCAGCTGTGCCTAAATCTGGAAGTAAAAGCACTCTGCGAACCTGTCAGCAGAGCCGCAAGGTGACCGCTTTCCAGTGGCGGTTTGGGCAGTCAAGTAGAGAGTGGACAAGCTATTAAATACTTTTTCTCAACATTTCTTCGTTCTATATAGAACTATTTGGTTCTCAAAGAACGCTTTGCATGATTAAAGGCTTCTTTGCATCATAGAACGGTTCTTCAGATTAATGGAGAATGTGTTGTATACCATATACCACACATAACCATTTTAAAAGGGTTCTATATAGCACCAAAAAGGGCTCTTCTATTGTTTCAGTGTCAAGCTTGTAACAGCAGAAGAACCCCTTTGATGCGATACAGAACCCTTTTAAAAAAAGGTTCTGCATAGAACCATCTAGAACACATTCTCCATCAATCTGAAGAACACTTAAATCATGCAAGGTCTTCTAGAACCATTTTCTTTACTAAAGAACCCTTGAAGAACCATCATTACGTGTGTGAGATTGTGCCACACTTTTCCGAGCACACTGTCTATATAGGATATCGGTATACAACCACATACAGCACCTTCTCCACCAGTCTGAAGAACCCTTTCACGGTGCAAAGAACCCTTTAATCACGCAATGGGTTCTTTGAGTATTCATGGTTCTATATAGGACCATTTTCTTTTCTAAAGAACCCTTGAAGAACCATCATCGGGTGAGTACGATTGTCACAACACGCTTTTCTGAGCACATCATCTATATAGGATATCTGCATAGAACCACATACAGCACCTTCTCCATCAGTCTGAAGAACCCTTTCACGGTGCATAGAACCCTTTAATCACGCAAAGGCTTCTTTGAGCGTACACTGTTCCACATAGATCCATTTTCTTTACTGAAGAACCCTTGAAGGACCATCTTTTTTGAGTGTGTGCAAATGAACACTGATTAAAAAGTACAGAAACTACATTTCCCAGCAGCACCTGTTGGTTCGCCCACAGAAGCGCTGCGCTGAAAAAGGAGAGCTACAACGTCACTGTAAAGTGAATTATTAGCGTCCTTGTGGGTGTGAAATGGAATATTATTGTGATATTAATGGTCTCAACATCGCCAAAGCCTGATTCGTGTTTTCAGTTTTTCCACGACTTTTTTATTTTTCAAGCGGGCTTTTATTTTGGCGGAAAAGTCATATGACTTGCCAGCAGCTGCGGCTCATTACGCGGAGCTGCGGGAGCGAAAGAGCCAAAATAGAGGAACCGAAAATCAGTGCAGGAACTTTAAGGTGCCTATAAGAGCTCAGAGGAGTGGAGCGACGGTTTTTAGACGCTTACGGACAAGAAACGGCTCGACGCTGCTGTGCTGGGTTTGTTTTCGTGGCTGCGGCTCTATTTCAGTCTGTCAGCGGACCATGAGCCCGTCTGAGCTGAGCTGAGCTGAGAGGAGCTCACCGACTCTCTCAGAGCAGAGACAGCTGAGAAACCCCGCTCTCTGTCTCAGTTTCTCCTTTTCCACACTCCCTGGATTCGTGTGAGGACCCTCAGGTCACACAGCCGAAGTAGAAGGTGGGGTTTAAGGGGAGAGTGCCCCCCTAAACCGAACTAACCTCGCTGTCAGACGGAGATAGTGACACTGAAGCTGCGCCGTCATGAGTGAACGGACTCCGCTCCTCCACTACCGCCTCTCCGCGAGCATCAATGAATCCGCCGAGCATCACTCGGAGTCCGGCCAGGAGGCGCTGGATCAGCCGCCGAGCGCGGTGCGCCGGAGGTCCGCTCAGAGCCAGCCCCAGAAACTGTCCACCTTCTTCGGCGTGGTCATCCCCACCCTGCTGTCCATGTTCAGCGTGGTGGTGTTTTTGCGGATAGGTAAGAGTCTCCTTTTGTTGTCTACCCTGTAAAACAACTTAGAATCCAGTACTATTGGCTACTGAGATGAATCTGCTTAAAGGGGAACTCCACCGATTTTTCAGAAATTCTCTACAATTAACTATTTAAGATGTAAACAATGTCATGCAGAGTGGTTTGGTGTGAAAGGCTTCATTCTAGAGAAACGTTTTAAGTCAGATTTGTTCCCAGTGGTGGTGATAGGAACCAGACGTCCAGCTCAAAATGCTTTCCAGAAAGTTATTACATGAAATAGTTATGAATATGCTTGATGTCTGACACATTGGTTTATGATAGTTTTGACTTAAAACTCATTTATTTTAATCCGTTCATGGTGGAGGGGTACATGCAGGGTGTTGTAAGGCAAAATAGTCCCCAAAGAAAACCTGTTATTCTCAGATTTATGACTCTTTTTATCATCAACATTCCATATAAATGTAAAAGAAGACATGTGTAGGTGCGCTGGTGGTTCTGGATAGTGAATAAAATGGTTATATTTGTGTTATAGACATCACCATAAAGAAATTTAACCCACTTACACAGACCAATCAGAGTCAACTAAAAACCTCCATGTGTTGTGACATCACAACCACAGTTTACTGGCAGTCTGGCACACTGCATTCAGGGGTCAAGCCAGAAAGCCTCAAGCCAGAAAAAGGGGATATTGGACTCCTTTTTGCCAAAAATAAAGGCCTGAACCTTGATTTATAAGAATATTTGCTGTTTACAAATATATTATTGAGAAAAAATTGCTATTAGATATCTTCCCCAGGAATTCATGCCAAATTGAATAGCAGTCACATGAAATACAATGCATACGTGACATTACTTCCCATAGTGACATGCAGAATACGTGCGCAAATGAAAAGCAACACCCCTGTTATGCTGTCTTTACATCGATTGACCTCTTTTGTGAAAAATGAAATGCTAAATTTGTGTCAGAATTGAATACAATCTGCCTTGAAGTGAGAATAAAGTTATGGCTACATTGCTTTCCACTGTAAATCACTTCAAACAGTGTTCAATCAACGTAATGGATCTTTTATTTTTGATTTTGACACATTTTCCTCAAACTTTTTGACTGAGACTGAGTTTCTCTTGTGGGCATCGCATTTCAATGAGGCAGAATACTTTTAAAGTATGAAAAAGTGGTGAAAACATTGTAGTAGAGGTGTTACTTTTTATTTTGGCATGTGTTCACCAATGTGAGAATTTCTCTGTGTAAAAAAATTATGATAACCTCTGTATTGCCTTAGTTTTTATGCCGTTTCAATCTATTATGGTCCTCTTCTGCATAACAAGCATAAAAAAATCACTAATAGTAAGCCAATGTCTCGGTAGCTAGGTAGCTAAATTTCCCGTTCCACCTTAAATAATCCAGCAGTTCCAACGCCTGAAGTGCCAGAATGTAACTGCTGCTCCATTTAAGGTGGAACAGGAAAATTCAAACAACAATCTGGTGAATATCTGACTTCAGCTTCATATCACTGAAGAATTAGGGGTGGGTGATAATAAATAATTGCCCCCCTCTTTGAAGATCATATGATGCCCTAAATGTAACTAAAGCCCAGCAGTGAGGAGCTGAACTTTACCCTCCTCTGCTGTCACTGCAGACTGGCAGGGTCGCCTACAGAGCAGCGCTGGTAGCTGTTAATGAAGTGATGCTCTTTTTATTTGAGGGTCCCATTTCAGAGGGAAGATTTCAACCACTACCGCTTATAACTCTGTCCAAGGGGCAACACTCGAAAATTAATTTATACAGCACTTTGTGGGGACCCAGAAGTGTGAATACAGGAAGATCTGTGACGTTGTAGGGACGCTTGTCTCCTCTTCATGAGGACAAATGCTTTAAAAGTAAAACCTTAGGTTTTATTAGAGAAAAAACAAAGTAAAGGACACCACTGTGGACACTTTTGCTTTCTCTTCCAGCCTCTCTCACTTCTGACTGTAAACACTGTGGGGTCACACTCGGGTTAAAGGCGAATTCCTCGGAAAAAAATTTCTGCCGTCATTGAGATGTAAACAAAGTCGTTCTTAGTGGCTTGATGTGAAATGGTTCTGATTTGTTTACAGTGGTGGTGATAGGAACTAGGGGTTCTCATGTTTACAGCACAAATATAGCCATTTTTTTTACTCTCCAAAACCACCAGTGACCCTACACGTGCCTTCTGAGTGTTTATATGTAATACTGCTGTTGGAAAAGCAGTGGAAAATCTGAAAAATCATGTTTTGTTTGGGGCCAGTTTCACTCTTCTCCTTTAAATGTGTGTTAAAAATTATTTTAGACCAAAAACTTATTAGAAAGTTTTCGTAAAAAAGTGTCTCAGTCATCAGGCAGTGAATTCATTACCATTTCATGTAGTAACTTTCTGCGAGGGAGCTTTTAGAGGTGGACGTCTGGTTCCTATCACAACCACTGTGAACAATTCTGACTTGTAAGTTTCTCTAGAACAGAGCGTTTCACACCAAACCACTCTGGATGACTCTGTTTACATCTGAATTGTATATTTATGTAGAAATATTGGAAAATGGTGGAGTTGCCCTTTAAGGTTAGGGTTAGGTTAGGTTACAGAAGAACGTGGAAATACCCTACAGGAATCCAGCTCACCTGTGTGGGTGGGGCAAAGAAAGAGAAAGAGAAATAAGCCTTTATCTTGTCATCAGCTAACTAGGTCAGCCGCAGTGGCTCTGAGGAGCAGGTAGCCAACGTGGTGGTTTTTTGTCAAGTAAGACACCAAGAGTGAAACCAGAATCTCCACCGTGTGACTCGAGCTGCTAACCGATGTTTTACCACAAACTGACTCTCTGCACATTCTGCGTCTTGTCTGACCTAATTCCCCTTTTTTTGGGCCAAGATGGTTTCATAGTGACTTTTTGAAGCCTTATTAAACATCTGACCAGCCTGAATGTACATGGAGTGGACAGTGTAACATCCTGCCTGATGTTTAGTTTGAAGTTTTGTGAAGTAGAACCGGTACCACTGTGGTACCACATTAAATAAAAACAGTGAATACAGTGATTTCATACAGTCAATTCAGTGTGTTTCACTCAATGCAGCACAATCAAACAAGACTAATAGTGATCATTTTGTAACGATATGTGCACAAAATGGTTCTTCAAGGGTTCTTTAGCAAAGAAAATGGTTCTATAAAGGACCGTGAAGACTCGAAGAACCCTTTGCATCATTAAAGTGTTCATCAGATTAATGGAGAATGGACCTGTGTGTATATATGTATACATAAATGTCGCTATTGTCAGAACAAAACCTTGTATCTTCAACATGGTAACTTTACAGGAGAACGAAAAAACGTACATTACTTTCAATGTAAGTCAATGGAACCAGACTTTTTTCAGAGTAATTTTGGGCCGTTTCTTTTGGCCCATTCATCATGAAATTTACACACAATGTAAAGATCAACAGGCATTTTCAAAATATGTCAAAAACTGAAAAACAACAAAAATGGAGATGCAAGGTTTTGTAATGATATATGTACAGGCACTGTCCAGAGAAAACCATGCATCTCCATTTTTGTCGATTTTTATTTTTTTACATCATTTCAACACACCAGCTGTCCTTTACGTTGTGTGAAAACTTCGTGATGAACGAACCAATAGAAACACTCTAAAATCACTCGGAATAAAATCTCTTTACAGTAACTTACATTGAAAGGTAAGAGTGTTTTTGGCTTCTCCTGTAAAGTTACTATTTTGGAGATGCGTGTTTTCTTTGGACAGAGACGATACTGTAACAGAAGAACCCTCTTTGTTGCTTTTCTGTATAGAACCATTTACAACACGTTCTCCATCAACCTGAACAACACTTTAACCATGCAAAGGGTTCTTTGAGTCTTCATGGTTCTATATTGAACCATTTTCTTTACTGAAGAACCCTTGAAGAGCCATATTTTTTGAGTGTAGTTTTCACAGTGATAATAAATATAATGATATTGTTCAGTCCTAATTCAGGCACGTGTAGCTTAATGACCAGATAACTGGAAAGGCTGTGATTGTGCCTGTAGTGTTTTCCAGCTCAAGTCCTTCTGCTGCAGTTTAATGTTTTTCTGCTGTATCACAGCTGCTTCAACTCGAGGGACCTGATCATTCGTTAATAATGTGATTCCAGTGCCAGAGAACCCACCTCTGTGAGTGGACCAGACAGCTGGAGCTGGGAATTAAAAACATTTTAAAAAGATTTTTTATGCTGTTAAGTTATAAAAACATATGATGTTTTTCAGATATGACTTCTATATCAGATTTACAGAACTGTTAGAAAGGCATTAAATAAATAAAGGTAAAGAGTTTCCCCACTTTCCTATTTCCTGTCCTACCCTTTCCCACTTCTGTCCCACTCAGTCCTGTTTCCTGTCCTACCCTTTCCCACTTCTGTCCCACTCAGTCCTGTTTCCTGTCCTACCCTTTCCCACTTCTGTCCCACTCAGTCCTATTTCCTGTCCTACCCTTTCCCACTTCTGTCCCACTCAGTCCTATTTCCTGTCCTACCCTTTCCCACTTCTGTCCCACTCAGTCCTATTTCCTGTCCTACCCTTTCCCACTTCTGTCCCACTCAGTCCTGTTTCCTGTCCTACCCTTTCCCACTTCTGTCCCACTCAGTCCTATTTCCTGTCCTACCCTTTCCCACTTCTGTCCCACTCAGTCCCATTTCCTGTCCTACTTATTCCCACTGTCCCACTCTTTCCTATTTCCTGTCCTACTCTTTCACACATCTGTCCTGCCTCCTGTCCTACTCTTTCTCTACTTTTGTCCTACTCTTTCCCACATCTGTCCTACTCTGTCCTGCCTCCTATCTTACTCTGTCCCAGTCTGTCCCACTTCCTGTCCTACTATAATTCTATAAATATAAAATTATAGTATATTTGATATCATTTGAATAACTTCTAGTTTTTATTGTGTGTAAAATTGTAATGTAAACGTATCGGTTTTTGTGACATCACAAACACACGTAATTGAAAATGGGCAGTTTTTGCAGCGTATCATCAGTATATGGACTGAAGAGGTTTTTTTTTAATTTCTGCACATTTTGGTGGCTCAAGTCATTCAGAGTGCTTTGATGTGAAATGGTTCATTACAGGGAAACTTACTCAGATTTTTTCCAGTGGTGGTGATAGGAATGTAGTGTTAATCATGGTAAAATAGTTCTGAACTAAACACGTTTTGGGACTTTTATGCCTCAGAATGCCCTGCATGTCTCCCTCCGCCACGAAAGGATTATGTTTTCCGAACTATCGTAAAATGATGTCTTAGGCATCAGGCGGTGAATTCATAACCATTTCATGTAGTAACTTTCTGTGAGGGAGCCTTTAAAGGGGGACGTCTGGTTCCTATCACCACCACTGTGAACAGTTCTAACTTTCTAGAACTTCAAACCACTCTGTATGACTTGGTCGACGTTTTAACTGTTTAATTATGCAGAAATTTAGAAAAAATGGTGGACTTCCCCTTCCCATTGAAGGGTATGTTTTGAAGCTTGAAACAATGCTGTATCAAACTCTGAAGTTCAGAAAAGTTAAGAAAATGTGGTTTTATTTGATGTGGGTCCTTTAAACTTGCTGTTTCCGGCTTTGGAAAACTCTGCATTCTCGTCTCGTCAGTTGAGTGTGAACTGGGCTTTATTTGTTCTCCGCCAGAAACCTCTCCGTTAATGGGGTCAGCTGTGAGAAAGTGTTGGACACGCTGCTTCAGTCAGACTAGCATGTGGTCGCGTGAAGTAGAGATTAACTTCAGGGGTTGTAAGAGCTGCTTGGGTCTCCCTGCACATGCGCACTTGCTCCCTCCTCGTAGAGGGACCAGCTCCAGCTGTAGTCTCAAGCCATTAATCGCGCTCACATGACGAAAGGCTCAGACCTTTAGTCCAGTGTGGAGACACGCTCTTATCCGTGAACTGTTTTATTAACCGGCCTGTTTCTCCTCTTTGTTTTCTGCTCAGTAGCCCAATGAAATCACGCCCATGGTAAGATGCTGCGTCAGTGTTGTCGCACATTTTAGGCTTGTGGCTTGTGTCTTGTGAGTGGTCACCATCTTTGCACGTGCGTGAAGGAATGCCTTAAACCACACGAATGCACACACACCTTCCTCGTGTTGTTATGCATGTGTGCGCATGTGTGTGTGAAAATGCACTATAATTACATTTAAGTTGGCTTGACAAAGCCAACGTACTGGCCTTCGTTTTTATTGTTCTGCGCTCTGTTTTCAAGCTGCGGGAATAGTGTGCCTGTGCTTTTGGAAGCGATTGCAAATAACTAACTGCCACAAGTGATGTCACACAGTACATCCCTCTCACTGCCCCTCATAGACAGTACATGCAGGCTAGCAACAGCCTATAATACTACAGCAGTAGTCTAGACTAGAGATTCTTAGCAAGGGATGACAAAGCATTGGCCAAGCAGCATCTTAGGAGCCGCCTGGGTTAACATAACAATGGCCTAACAACACCCCACACACCTGGGATACGGTAGCAACATCCTAGCAACACCTTAGCAACCAGCTGGGATAACAGCAGCAGCTTAGTAACAACTTAGCAATCACTTTCGATACCATAGCAACAGCCTAGCAGCACCTTAGCAACCACCATGGATACCATACCAGCGGCCTAACAGGATCTTAGCAAGCACCTGGGATAACAGCAGCAGCTTAGTAACAACTTAGCACTCACTTAGGATACCATAGCAACAGCCTTACCACCTTAGCAACCACCTGGGATAATAGCAACAGCTTAGTAACAACTTAGCACTCACTTAGGATACCATAGTAACAGCCTTAGCACCTTAGCAACCACCAGGGATAATAGCAACAGCTTAGTAACAACTTAGCACTCACTTAGGATGCCATAGCAACAGCCTTAGCACCTTAGCAACCACCTGGAATAACAGCAACAGCTTAGTAACAGTTAGCAACCCCTTAGGATACCATAACAACAGCCTAGCATCACCTTAGTGACCATCTGGGAATCCATAGCAACGGCTTAGTTTGTTTGTGCTGTTATTGTTGTTGTTTTTATTAATACAATGGACAGAAACAGGTTGTAATAAGCTGGATGTGTCTTGGGCTGCATGATTTGGATGTTTACGTTTTAAATATATGTGTTTGTGTCTCCGCATCGCAAAAATATCAGATATTGGCAGCACTTCACAATTCCCGTATCGGTACGTCCCGACTGCTGATGTCTACAGTAGGACTGACGTTTCAGATGCATCATATAAACCATAAACATGGCGAACGAAACAGGTTTTACAGCTTTGTTATGGAAACAAACATTATGCTCTCTACAGTTTACATTCGCCTCAGATATAGCTGGAAGCAAAAAGTGTCTGATGATAAAGTAATACAGAATGTGTTGATAAACGCATTTAAATATGGCACTAAATTGAGAGAAAACCGAACTTAAGTAGATATAATTATGTAATTTGTAGACGTAACTTATTACCCTTTTATTACTGGATGTACTGATACGCTTCAGTCATACTGCAGCTTTTTCAGTTAGATGTCAATATTACTAAATTTCTAAAATTACAGATAAGCATATTTTAGGTGTATAAATGTAGAAACACACTATACTGTGATACACCAGGCATAACATGACCACCTCCTTGTTTCTACACTCATTGTCTATTTTATCAGCTCCACTTACTATATAGGTGCACTTTGTAGTTCTACAGTTACAGACTGTAGTCCATCTGTTTCTCTGATACTTTGTTAGCCCCCTTTTACCCTGTTCTTCAGTGGTCAGGACCCCCATGGACCCTCACAGAGCAGGTACTATTTGGGTGGTGGATCATTCTCAGCACTGCAGTAACACTGACGTGGTGGTGGTGTGTTAGTGTGTGTTGTACTGGTCTGAGTGGATCAGACACAGCAGTGCTGCTGGAGTTTTTAAACACCTCAGTGTCACTGCTGGACTGAGAATAGTCCACCAACCAAAAATATCCAGCCAACAGTGTCCTGTGAGCAGCGTCCTGTGACCACTGATGAAGGACTAGAGGATGACCAACACAAACTGTGCAGCAGCAGATGAGCTATCGTCTCTGACTTTACATCTACAAGGTGGACTGACAAGGTAGGAGTGTCTAATAGAGTGGACAGTGAGTGGACGCAGTGTTTAAAAACTCCAGCAGCACTGCTGTGTCTGATCCACTCGCACCAGCGCAACACACACTAACACACCACCACCACATCAGTGTTACTGCAGTGCTGAGAATGATCCACCACCCAAATAGTACCTGCTCTGTGAGGGTCCATGGGGGTCCTGACCACTGAAGAACAGGGTAAAAGGGGGCTAACAAAGTATCAGAGAAACAGATGGACTACAGTCTGTAACTGTAGAACTACAAAGTGCACCTATATAGTAAGTGCATAAAACGAACTCCAAGACATGGTTTGATGAGTTTGGTGTGGAGGAACTCCAGTGGTCTGCACAGAGCCCTGACCTTAACCCCACTGAACACCTTTGGGATGAACTGGAACATCAATTGTGAGCCAGGCCTTCTCGTCCAACACCAGTGTCTGACCTCACAAATGCTCCATATTAATGTGCATGGTTTGGAAATCGAATGTCCAACAAGCTCATTAAGATGTGATGGCTGGGTGTCCGCATACTTTTGGCCATATTGTTTCGTTTCATTGTATATCAGTGTTGGGTTCAATAGAGAAGTATAGTAATATAAAATGAATCTAACAGTACTGTCTTCTCTCACATTGTGTGTGTGTGTGTGTGTGTGTGTAGGGTTTGTGGTGGGACAGTGTGGTCTGTATCAGACCGTGGCCATGTTTCTGGTGGCGTATTTCATCATCAGCATGACCGTTCTCTCCGTCTGCGCCATCTCCACCAACGGAGCCCTCGACGCTGGAGGAGCCTACTGTATCCTTCACACGCACAGTGGTTTGTCTTGCTATACTTGTGATGACCTTCGTTGATTTTTGCATTGCTTTAGCCAAATAATAGTACACCTAAATCTAACCCTAACCTTGAAGGGGAATGCCACTATATTTTTAAAATTTACACATAAGTTAACTGTTGAGATGTAAACAGTCATTCTGAATGGTTGGATATGAAATGGTTAATTTTAGAGAAACTTGCCAACTGATTGATTTCTTCATAGTGGTGGTGATGGGAAACAGGGGTCACAAGGTCAAATATAGGCATTTTATTTGCTGTCCAAACAGACGACTGTGCCTACATGTGTTTTCTGAGTTTTTATATGTAATGATAAATCTGAAAAATGTTTTCTTAAATGTCTTCATTTTGCTTTGCATTACCCTACATATACCTCTTTGCCATGAAACTTACACATATAACGCCTCAGACATTAGGCAGTATATTCATAACTCCTTTTATGTTAACTTTTTGTGAAGGAGCTCTTTAGAGGCATTAAACTCTTCAGACGTCTGGTTCCTATCACCACCACTGTAAACAATTCTGACTCTGTAGGTTTCTCTAAATGGAGCATTTCACACCAAACCACTCTAAATGAATTTGTTTGCATCTTAACAGTTGAATAATGCAGAAAATTTGGAATAATTGGTGGGATTCCACTTTAACCTCAGTGTCCAAACGGCAGCCATTCTGGTCTTTTAGTTTTTTCCAAAAAAATTGAATGTGCAGTGAAAACAGGTGCAAAATTGTCGTGTTGTCCTGTCATTGTGAGGACACATGGTGCTCATTAGGATATGACAGACACACACACACACAAAAAGGTCCTCACTTGTGCAAAATTGCCATGTCGTCCTTTGATTGTTGGGACTTGTGTGAAGACTAATACACATGTCTTTGTCTTGCTATACTTGTGAGGACTTCCATAGGTTTCTGTTGATTTTTGTATTACTGTAGTCCAAAAGTACTTCACCTAACCTTAACCTCAGTATCCAAAAGGCATTTTTTCTGCTGTTTGAAGTTTTCCAAAATAGTGCAATTTGTAGTTAAAATGACACACAAATGTCATGTCCTATCATTGTGAGGACATGTAGTCCTTACAAGTATAGCAAAACAAGAACGCGAAGACTGAAACACACAGACACACACTTTCCATTTACCTCGTAGAGCTGCTTTCCTAATTGCCATCATTCCCTTGTCTTGTACACTGGTTCAGTAGATTTGTGCATTAGTAGTATTAAAATAGCACATTTCTGTTTGGACCTGCTTTATTTTTATTGATTGATTGATTGATTGATTTTTTTATTTATTAATTTATTTGTTTACTTACACACTATTTGTAAACACTAGGTTATTTTTACATTGTATGAACTAGTGTTGCTCTGGTACGGGCGCTTAAAGGCATTGTCGGTATCGGCGATGGAGATTCTGATACATATGCCCGATACCGTGAAGCAAGTAAAGGGGGCCTAGCAACACATCAGTGGTGTGGTTTGACGAGCAGCCATAAAAAAGCTCATGTCAGTTCTGTAATGCTAGTATTTCGTGGTAAGGCAGTAGTTGTGGGTGATATACCAGTTGGAATTCTTCTTAAGGTATTAAGTCAGGAGTCCTTCAGTAATCCTCAGCCCTCACCTCCCGCTGTGCGGTCAGTTATAGCCTGAGTTAATGTTAGTCCAGGTAGTTACTGAGGGAGTGATCTTTGGAAATATCAGTTAACCTTGACTTACTTTCACACGTTTGAGCTGAATTCCTGAGATCAACAAAAATTATAAATGAAAACTATAACAGCTCACCTCAGAAATCGGGATTTCAGCCTGTGAGTTTAATTTTTAATTGTGTGGTGAAAAAAGGACCACACGTTAAACTTTAGCTCCTGTAAGTAAAAACTGTTGCTGCAGTTACACTGAACTGGAAAAAGGCTTGAACTAATGAGAAATGAAATTTTATATGCTAAAATAAAAAAATGCCTGCAATTATTTGTTGAATTTTAAGAGCTGTGTTCCAAAATCTAGGCTGCAGTCGAGGTAGGTTGCATTTCTCAGCCTCTACATCATAGAAGGCCATTTCAAAGTGAAGGACCCTTCGTATGCAGCTTATGTTCTGAGTGGTTTCGGGACGCAACCACGAAAATAGCAGAAAACAAAACTTTTTCATATGACACGTTTATTGTGTAGTGCGTGTTGTTTGGACGCTGTGTGTGAGTGTGTGTTCTCCTTAACCCAGTGTGTGTGCAGATATGATCAGTCGAGCTTTAGGGCCGGAGTTTGGAGGCAGCATTGGCATCATGTTCTTCTTCGCTAACGTGTGCGGCAGCGCCCTCTTTGTGCTGGGGCTGGTGGAGGCCGTCCTCGCAACGTTCGGCATGTCTGAAGGTGATTATGTACTGGTATATATGTACTCGTACGTAAGGTAGCGATGCATCTTAAATGATTACAGTGTTAGAGAACAGTTGATCTTCCAAGGCGATGAATTCTATTATTTTTTTTAGTTTTTATTTGCACTTCGGTCATCATTGGTGAATTTCTTCATTATTTCAAAAACTGAGGCCCCAGATAGCCTCTGCATTGTTTGGCTGGATTCTGCGAATTCAGCGTGATTTTATTTTATTTTACATGAACAGAGATTATGAACTGCTCGTCTACTTCCGGTTCTCATAGAAACAGTGAAATACTGGGGTCGATATTTTTACTGTTGATTTGCTGCAGCTTAAGCTGTTTGAACACTCTGACTGGTACATTTTTATTCACTGTTTCTCATTTTTATTACGCCTCCAATCATTTATAAAGTCTTTGATTTTGTCAGTTATTATTTATTAGAATTTTTGGTTCATCCTTTTTTCTCTTTTGGGGGCTAAAATTTGGGGGCATCCATAAGTTGTTATTAAAGTTACTGTAATCTATAAAGTATTTATACGTTCATTGTCTCTGAATTGTCTTTCTCTTGCTTCTTTCTTTCTTTCTTTCTTTCTTTCTTTTTTGTGCACCCTCCCCCTCTCCCCTTTCCCCTTTCCAGATGGTGTAGACTCTTCCTCTAAGTATGCGGTGTTGCCGGTGAGCTACTGGTGGTCTCTGCTGTACGCCACAGCCATCCTGCTGGTGTGTCTGCTGGTGTGTTTGGTGGGCGCTTGGATTTACGCCAAGGCCACCTTCCTCATCTTCCTGGTGGTGATGGTGGTGCTGGCGACCATCTTTATCAGCTTTTTCGCTGTAAAGCCGCAGACGGTCACTCTGCCTGGCCCCCTCACCAACTCCTCCCCCACCACCGCCAACTTCACCGGCTTCAAACTGGACACGCTGCGCCGAAACCTCGGAGGTGGGTGTGTGTATGTGTGTTCTGTGTGTGTGTGTGGCGGGGGGGCTGTTTGTAAAGGTTAGGCCATGTGTGTGTGTTTGTTTTTCGTCTTGTTCATCTGGGTTTTCGGGCTGACCCAGATTAAAAAACACTCCAGCGTTTTTCAACCTTTTTTGTTCCGATACTGATCCGATATTTTGAATTCGAAACTGATATCAATACAATAGTATTTCTCTTGGTGATGCTGGGCCGTTGCTATGATAGCTGAGGTAGTTGCTAAGGTGTTGCTAGGTTGTTGCTATGCTATTTATGAGGGTAGCTAAGGTGTTGCTAGGCCGTTGCTGTCATATTCCTAGTTGTGGCTAACTTGCTGCTAGGCTTATCCTATGTTACCATAAGTGGTTGCTAAGGTGATGCTAGACCTTTGCTATGGTAGCCCAGGTGGTGGCTAAGGTGTAGCTGGGCCATTGCTGTGTAATCTCAGGCAGTTGCTATGGTGTTGCGACACCTTTGCTGTGCTGTTTCATGTGGTTACTAAGGTGTTGCTAGGCCTCTGCCATGATAGTTAAGGTAGTTGCTACGGTGTTGCTAGGTCTTTGCTATATAATCCAAGGTGGTTGCTAAAGTGTTGCTAGGCCATTGGTATGCAATCCAAGGTGCTTTCTATGGTGTGGCTAGGATGTTGCTACAGTAGATGAATCAAAAGATTGGGGGAGAAAGTACTTCTTAGACCTTTTGTGGTCAGCGTTTAATGTGGAATGGGAAATTTGAATAAACAACTAAGCTTATCCTCTTCAGAAAGTGTTCTTATCACCATTACCTTAGCGCTAACAACAGAAGCATTATTGAGGTTTATTTTTTGTGCTAATGTTTTGACAGAGCTTTGACATTTATGGCCCGAGTTCAAGGCTTAGTGGTTTGGCCATACAGCCCCCTTCTACTTATAAATGAGCCCTGTTATCTATAACGTTTCGTTTTCATGATGTATCACTAATATATACATATATATACATATATATAAAAATCATACATGGTGCGTCCGGGAGGCCTTTTCCGTATGACCGCCTGTTTAGTCTGCAGCGATATAGCTTGGCCAAGTCACAAAGTTATGTGGAGTGCTGTTCCTGCAGGAAGTTATTTGAATGGAAGATGTGGGGAAAACAGTTAAACAGTGTACTGTTCATGGCTGTCAGTAAGCAGATGGATCATTACAACATTGCACACACAATGCCTGAAGTTTGTTTTTCCCACTTTGCTGAGGAATTCTGTCTGGACTTAGCAGTTTGTTCTACATTTCAACCCAGTGTGCTATTTGATACACAACAACCAGTCAGGACAGAGCTCATTTACATTGTCTAAGGCTTGAAGAGAGATGGTGAGAAAAAGGCCATGTAAATATGTATAATGAGGCATAATCCAGTTCACTGTTACAGAGCTGCCATAACCATATCATATACAACCTGCACCAGTGGCACTGACGTGGTGGTGGTGTGTTAGTGTGTGTTGTGCTGGTGCAAGTGGATCAGACACAGCAGCGATGCTGGAGTTTTTAAACACCTCAGTGCCGCTGCTGCACTGCGAACAAAAAATATCCAGCGAACAGTGTCCTGTGACCACTAATGAAGGACTCGAGGATGACCAACACAAACTGTGCAGCAGCAGATGAGCTATTGTCTCTGACTTTACATCTACAAGGTAGGAGTGTCTAATAGAGTGGACAGTGAGTGGACACAGTGTTTAAAACTCCAGCAGCACTGCTGTGTCTGATCCAGTCACTCCAGAACAACACTCACTAACACACCACCACCACCTCAGTGTCACTGCAGTGCTGAGAATGACCCACCACCCAAGTAATACCTGCTCTGTGAGGGTCCATGGGGGTCCTGACCACTGAAGAACAGGATGACGGGGCTAGCAAAGTATGCAGAGAAACAGATGGACTACAGTCTGAAATTGTACCTATATGATGCAGCTGACTGCAGGAAGTGGCTTCTTCAAATAAATATAAAGTACATTAGAAAAATATAGACAATGGGTCATATTTAAAGTGGAATTATATTATTATAACATTTCTTGTGTTTGTGTTTAGCTGATTACACAGTGGATTACACAACGGGGACGATGATGACGTTCGCCACGGTGTTTGCGGTGATGTTCAATGGCTGTACGGGAATCATGACGGGCTCTAATATTTCAGGTAAGGGTGTGTCAGAGAGAGAGAGAGAGAGAGAGAAAGAGAGAGAGTTCCTGTAAACATTATTACTGCTTGTTTAAGGGAGGGGTCCAAAGGTCATCATATAAAGACTGTTTGCATTGTGTGCACGTGTTTACCTGTATGCAAAATGATAGGTGTATGGAATCAGTTTCAGTGTCCTTTATTGGTAACATTTTTACAAAAAAAACATAGTTAATACAAAACCAATTCCAAAAAAGTTGGGACGCTGTGAAAAATGTAAATAAATGTAAATAAAAACAGAATGCAAGGATTTGCAAACCTCATAGACCCATATTTTATTCACAGTAGAACATAGAACACATATCACATGATCAACGTGAGACATTTTACCATTTCACGAAAAACTTTAACTTATTTAGAACTTGATGGCAGCAACGCATCCCAAAAAAGTTGGGACAGGGGCAAGTGGTACTAATAAAAAACAGCTGGAGGAGCAATTTGCAACTAATTCACATGACTGGGTATAAGAAGAGTATTATAGAGAGGCAGAGTCTCTCAGAAGCAAAGATGGGCAGAGGTTCACCAATCGGTGAAGAACTGTGTCTAAAAACTGTGAAACAATTTCAGAATAATCTTTCTCAACATACAATTGCAAAGACTTTTGAATATCCCACCATCTACAGTACATAATATCATCAAAAGATTCAGAGAATCTGGAGAAATCCCTGTAAGGGACAAGGCCGATGGCCAATATTGGACACGTGTGATATGCAGGCTCTCTTCAGGTGGCGCTGCATTGAAAACAAGCATGATTTTGTACTGGAAATCACTGCATGGGCTCAGGAACACTTCCATAAATCACTGTCTGTGAACACAGTTCAGCATGCAGTCCACAAATGCAAGTTACAGCTGTATCATACAAAGAAGAAGCCATATGTCAACACGATCCAGAAACGCCGCCATCTTCTCTGGGCCAAAGCTATTGTGAATAAAATATGGGTCTATGAGATTTGCAAATCACTGCATTATGTTTTTATTTACATTTATTTACATTTTACACAGTGTCCCAACTTTTTTGGAATTGGGGTTGGAAATCGAATTATCAAGTAATAGTTTATTATCTGTTACTCGATAATTGGCTAATCATTAACTAATGAAGTATTTCATGTTATTGGTTATTAATTCATATGCTAACATCACTTTGTAAGACTCACACAAGCCATTACTTGATTGTGGATTACAAATAACTGAAGTTATTTCTGCCGCCCCAGATCTAAAGTGATGTCACAGCATCTTATTCTTGGCTCCTCCCACCTTGCCCTGCCTTTTCATTAGTGTTTCCACCTGTATGCAGTTTGTTACCCCTCCTTTCCCAGGTGGTTGCTAGTCTTGTCTTTGGTGTAAGCAGCTCTCAGGCTTCAGTTTGCCTTTGTCTGCTTCATGTTTTGTTCGCAGTGTTGCTTTTTGCCTTAAAACCGATCATCTCACTCCCAGGTATCAAGGCAGGATTAGAGAGGAGCGTTTATTAAAGTCATTTATGGACTAATATCTTCTGTTCTGATGTGACAAAGTTTGTGTATAACTTTTGGGCATTTATATATATTTCTGTAGTTTTTCACTTTACACTATGGGTTGAAAAAGTGTTACAGATATTTGACATATGACTTATACATGATTTGTAAAACATGACCAGCAAAAGTATTGCTATTTTGTAGTATTTACCAAGTAATTTGGAGGCCTTGCATATTTTTAGTGGGGTTTACAAGATACACATTGCATTAGCAGCCAAGATTAACATTTTTTGATCTCTTTTGTAGATACACAAATATTCAATTATAGTGAATAACATTTAAGCTTCTGAGTTGTTTATCATTTATTAGTTATAAGACATATATAGAAAAAAAGTTGATATATATTAAGATAAGTAGACTTTTACTCTACTAACTAATAATAACTAAGTTCCTGGTTGGTACACGATTTGAAGCTGTAGCTAGGCCTAGCTTATATGTCTGTTATAGAATAATGTGAATATACTAATTAATGAAGAATTTAAACTTGTTACTTAGTGTTGCCTCTTTATTTATATGTCTTAAAATGGTCAGGAATGAAAAAGACTGTAATAGTCTCATTTAACTCTATTGAACCGAGCGTCTCGCTGGCGAGACGCTGAGATTTTGGAGGCAGTTCCTTAAACTTGCCACCAGAGGAGACATAGGCCTTTTTGACACTGACCTCAGTGAACCTCGTCAGTGTGTAGAATTAGAGCGTTCTGCATCCTACTGTGTTTCCTATCACTGTATTAAAGAAGCCCGAGGCCTCCTTCATTGCTGGATATGTTAAGTGAGCTCAAGCAGAGCAAAGCTCTGATCAGTGAGTCCTCATATTTGGTAGGGTTTATCAGAGTAATGGAAAAAGTGACTGACTTATGACTCACGTTTCTGTTCATGTGTAATGTTTTTCAAAACTACTTTCATGTGATCATGTTCTTTACATAGCAAATAAACACAGCAGCCCCATTAATATGTGAGAAATCATGCCTGAAAGGGACTCACAGTTCATGCCTTAAAGGGATACACAGTTCTGGTTGCTGTGACTTGTTGTTTTTAGTACACATAAGAAAATATACTGTCTGAGAGGCTGATTCTAACATTAACCTAGAATCTGAGGAGCCTTTTAAAAGAACTCCTTTTACAGCCTATAAAACACTTGAAATTAAATAATAATAATAGAATAGTTTAAACATCTGTTTTTAAAAATAAACTTTGGGATACCATAGCAACAGCCTAACAAAGCCTTAGCAACCACCATACACCATAGCATGGCAGAGCAACACCTTAGCAACCACCTGAGATAACATAGCAATGGCCTAGCAATATCTGTAGCAATGCTCTGGCAACACTTAATTGACCACCTGGGGTACCATAGCAATGTCCTAGCAACACCTTGATAATGGCCTGGCATATGAAAGCAGTGGCACCTTAGAGCACCTTAGCAATGGCCTAGTGGTACCAAAGCAGCAGCATAGCAACACTTTAGCAGCCACCTGGGATTCCATAGCAGTTGCTTAGCAACACCTTAGCAACACATACCTGGGATACTGTAGCAATGCTCTAGCAACACCCTAGCAACCGCCTGGGGTCCCATAGCAATGGCCTGGCAACACCTTAGCAACAGCCTAGGATATAATGGTAATGGCACCTTAGAATATCTTAGCCATCACCTGGGATTCCATACCAGTGGCCTAGCAACACCTTAGCAACCACCTGCGCTCCCACAGCAATGGTCTAGCAACACCTTTGCAATGGCCAAGAATATGATAGCAGTGACACTTTAGAATGTATCAGAAACCGCCTGGAATTCCATAGCAGTGATTAGCAACACCCTAGCAACCACCTGGCATAACAAAGCAGACCTAGTAGTTCCAAAGCAACAGCATAGCAACACTTTAACAACCACCTGGGATTCCATCCGGTGGTGTAAGCAACACCTTAGCAACCACCTGGGAGAACATAGCAACACCTTAACAACCACCTGGGATTCCAAACCAGTGGTGTAGCAACACCTTAGCAACCACCTGGGAGAACATAGCAACACCTAAGCAACCATCTGGGAGAACATAGCAACACCTTAGCAACCAGCTGGGACACCAGCAATAGCCTTAGAGCACCTTAGCAACAGCTTGGGATTTCATAGCAATGGCTTTGAAGTTTATTCACAAACTTTTTCCTTGTAATTTTGATATAATTTTTTAGCCAGTCTATTGAGGGGTGCCAATAATTCTGTAGTTGCCTGTGAATATTGGTGCTTTGTCAGTGGAGACATTTTCATACATACTGATAAATATCAGCCAGTTTCATCAGCCAAACAATATAACAGGTCCTACTGTGTAATGACCATCGAGTCTATGTGTATGTTTGTTTTAGGTGACCTGAAGAACCCGAGTTATGCCATCCCTCGCGGAACAATCACTGCGGTCATCTTCACTTTCATCATCTACAACCTGCTGAGCTTATTGGTGGCCTGCACCTGTGACAGGTGAGCACTCTTCACAGTCTGTATTAGCCAAAAAGTGGAACATACTGGCGTTTTTAACCAGATTTAACCAAACACACAAAATTAGCGCTTGGACAAAGAAAAGAAAGAAATAAAAGAGAAATAAAAGACGTTTTAATACGCGCCGCATTCAAATTGCAGCCTTTATTGATAAATTTCATCCTTTTCAGGTGATTATATGTGGTTGAACTATGGGGCATCACTGTCGGTTATATGAATAATCAAGTAATCTGGAGCTGGATTTTGACAGTTGAATAATCAGCTTTTATCATGCTCATACAGTAACAAACGATGCATAGCCTTTCAGAATTTCCATGATATTTATTTGTTGATCAAGTAGGACTCAGTGCTGATTCATCTAGCATGTGAATTTTAATCTATCAAATCTAACAAATCATTATTTATTTATTTATTTTTGTTGAGTAATCTAATCGATTAATCATGACCCCTCTGAATCAGGCGGTTATTTTTGGCCAGCTGTGCCTCGTGTCGCATTAGTTCATTTACAAGAGAGCTTTTAAAAGGTCTACAGTTTATTGTAGACGTGTTGTGGTTTCTCAAAAAGAGAACCAGTGAAGTGTCAGTGCCAGTAAAGCACGCCATCATTTTAGTTTTGATTTGGAACAGGACAAAACCAGCTGTTTGGTTCAGTGTTAATAAGCAAGCATCCATAGAAGCTCTGAACAGAAGCATCTTCACCACTCAAATCTGACCAAGTGCCTCAAAACAGGATGGTGCTTGGAAAGTGTGAAGTTCTTTGCTGGCCAGGTTGGTCATCCAGCCTGAACCCCGTTGAGCAATAGTTCACTCACTGAAAACAAAAGTGAAAGTGCGAATCTTCCCAAAGAAGCAGGAACTGAGAACCGCTGGTCTGGTAGAATGTCACAGGAGAAGATACCCTGTATTGTAAAGTACCGAACATTTTTTAAAAGGGTCTGCCAGCCTAAATCTGCCATGTTGCGTAATATTCAGTAGTACAGCTTTGCATCCCTCAGACTCATCGGTTCGACAGAATTTATGATTTTGTATGCATTTTAATCCATTAATGTTTTTTTACTACAATACCCAGCATGCAAGTGTACCAAGCAAGCACTGGGAATGTCCCATGGCCATAAATAAAGGGATTCACTCATGTACCAATGATGAGGGTGATGTAGCCTAGCACTGATGATGGCTTCTGTCTGTATTAGCCTGCTAGCAGGAAGTACATTTTAAACAGCCTGCCTTCCTGAATCCCCCCTAAAGTGCTTGTAGTTTTATGGAAGTTCCCCTCGCCTTCAAGATCTCACAAGGGGCTTTTTGCAAACCTGAAAATCTCCCTCTCGGGACTGTTTTGGCAAGACTGTAGGCAGTGGTTGTCCTCATAGGCGGAGTTTGGGTGGAAGAGGTGAAGTAAAACGATTTGAAAGAGACTTGACCATATGCACCTTTGATGAATAAGAGCCAGTGTCCACACAAGCCAGGTTCAGACAGCACAGCTGCTCAGTGTTTGAAAGCAGAGTTGTGTGCTGAGAGATGTGGATCTAGGGATAAAAAGGAGAAGAAGAAAACGGAAGAGAAATAGAGAGAGTGGAAGGGAACAGATGTCCTTACCGATCGTCATTCCCTCTTTAGCGTAGGGCTTTTACGCCGCCTTAGTGCTCTGAGTGCACACACTTTACTGCTGTGTCAACAGAGAAAAAGACAGGGGTAGATAGAGAGGAGAGAGGGGTAGAATGAGAGGAGAGTGTAAGAGAGAGAAGAGTAGAAGGAGAAAATAAAAAGGGATAGAAAGGAGTAGAAGGGGGAGAGAGGAGATAAAAGAGGAGTAGAAGGAGAAAGAATAAGAAAGGGTGAGGAGATGGAGCAGGAAGAAGGGAGAGCAGAGTAAAAGGAGAGGAGTAGAGCAAGAGGGGAGGAGAGGAAGCAGGAGTAGAGATGTAGATGGAGAGGAGAGAAGAGAGGGGTAGAAGGAGAGAAGAGAAGAGTAAAAGAAAAGGCAAGGAGAATAGAAAAAGAGGAGGGCGAGAGAAGCAGAAGTAGAAAAATGTAAAGAGAAAAAATAGAGGGATAGAGAGGTTTAGAAGGAGAAGAGAGGAACAAAGGGGTAGAGGGAGAGGAGATGAGAGAGGAGTAGAAGGAAAGGGGGTGAAAGTAGAAGGAGAGAAAAAAAGGTAGACAGAGAGAGAACAGTAGAAAGAGAGCAGTAGAAGGAGAGGAGAGAAAGAGGAAGATTCGAGATGAGAGGAAGAAGGAGTTGAAGGAGAGAGAGAAAGGATTAGAAGGAGAAGGAGGAGGGAAAGATGTAGAGTAGGAGTTAAAGAGAAAAGAGTAGAAGGAGAGGAGAGCACGCAAGAGAGGAGCAGAAGGAGAAAAAAGAGAGGGATAGAGAGGATTAGAAGGAGAAGAGAGGGACAGAAGGTTAGAGGGAAAGGAGTAAAAGGAAAGGGAGAGAAGTAGTAGAAGGAGAAGAGAGAGAGGTGGGAAAGGAGAGAAAGAGAAAGGTTAGCGATAAGAGAGGAAGAAGGAGTTGAAGCAGAAAGAGAAAGGAGTAGACGGAGAAAAAAGAAGGGGAGAGAGAGGAGTAGAGATGTAGATGGAAAGAAGAGAGAGGATTAAAAGAAATGGAGAGAGGAGCAGAAGGAGAAAAATAAATAAATAATAGAGAGGAGTATGAGGAGAAGAGAAAGCCAGAAGGGTGGGAGGAGAGGAGATGAGAGAGGAGTAGAGGGAGAGAGAGAAAGAAGAAGGAGTAAAAGAAAAGGTGAAAGGAACAGAAGGAGAAGAGAGCACACAAGGGAGGAGCAGAAGGAGAAAAATGTAGCAAGAGAAAATAGAAAGAGGGAAAGAGAGTATTAGAAGGAGAAGAGAGGGACAGAATGATAGAGGGAAAGGAGAGAGAAAAATTTGAAGGAGAGGAAAGGAGCAGATGGAGGGAGAGGAATAGAAAGAGCAGTAGAAGGAGAGGAGAGAGAGGAGTAGAGATGCAGATGGAGAGAGAGGAGATGAACAAGAACAGGAGGAGAGTGAGGGAGAAAGGAGTAGAAGGCGAAAGAAGGAGGAAATAGAGAGGGATAGAAGAGTAGATTGAGAAGACAGAGGGAGAGAGGAGTAGAGAGAAAGCGAGAGAAAGTGAAGGATTAGGAGGAGAAAGGAGTGGTAAAGGAGGAGAGAGAGAGAGCGAGCCAGGCTACAAGAAGAGGAAAGAGGGAAGGTTGTGGAGGAGAGAGAGCTATACAGGGGAAGAGAGTGAGAGAGAGACATGAATAGAGAAGTTGGAGAGAGTGAATGAGGAAGGGAGAAAGAAGTAGTACAGAGAAAGGAGAAGTACAGTTTAATACATTATTAATAACTAATATTTATTTATTTATTTATTTATTTGTCTAAAGATCTTTACAGTACTGACATCACAGAAAACTGAAATATGCAAATGAGCCCTCTAACCAATCCCAGTGTTGTTTGCTGTGTGCTGTGAGCAGCCTGACCAATCACAGCTCCCGAGGAGTGCCTCTGTGGGCGGAGATACAGTAGTGTGCGAAAGTTTTGGTACCCCTTCTGCACACATCTGTACATTTTAATGCACAAATTAAGAAAATAACCCACACATTTTGGTTTTTGTGGAATAATTTAAAAATATTTCTATTGGAATAATCATATTTTTATGCAAGCACCGTATACGTCTCTGCTGCAAATGAACACTTGAACTTTGTTTCTAGCACCTACGCTTCATGTGCAATTCCACCCAAAATGATGGAAGGTGCAGTGTTACAGTTTAGCCCAAGGGTGGGTTCACTGTAACAGACAGAGGGTCAGTTTAACACCTGCTAGAAAAGTCTGACGAATCAGTGCAAACAGAGTTAATTCAATATAATTGTGTTGTTAGACACAAATATGTTTTCCAGTCATACTACACTGTATTATCGATCTGTAAGACAGACAGATCAATTGATACAAACATCAAATTATATATGAAAACCGACATGAGGCTGTGTGTAAAATATGGAACATTGTTTCTGAATAGCTACAGCTTTACCAACGGTTAATGCCAATTTTATTAATATACTTATTAAAACCAAAACACTAACATCTGAAATATACTTATAAAGTAAAAAGTCCCTGTTTTCAGATGTTTCCTCTTTTTCATTTTAAAATCTGTGTAAACATATAAAACAAAAAGACAAAGTTTACTTTATTAGTCTTTGTTTACTAAAGGTGGCTTAGTTGTAACGCTGTATAACAGCTAACCCCGCAGTACGGAGGCTGTACTTAAGCCCAGCTAGCGCTTGCTGTGAGCTTGTCTAATGGTTCCAAATGGTGCCATGTTGTGGGCAACAGGATGGTGATTACAGTAATATAAGGTCAAATTACGTGAACAGCTCAGTAACCGAAAAGCTTGTGTTAAAAAAATAACTTACCGTCCCTGTAAACACTCTTTAGCACAGATCTCTTTAAAACGCTGACCAATCACTCTGAATTTTGGTGGGAGACCGTGGCTAGGAAATATGATCATGTGGTCAGAAGCACACGCCACTTGACCTTCTATAACAATGTAAAAAGTCAGTGTTAAGTTGTGCCCCACATTAGGTTGTTCCCTGTACCCCCCCACTGTTTATTAGCTGAATATAGAACATTAGAAAAAAACATACAATGCAGAAGTTTTTTTTTATGTTTTAAGTTAAATAGCAAAGCACTGTACTGGCAAAATGAATGTTTTAATAAATTGTTAGTTGTAAGTAATATCATAATCACATTATTATAGCAATATAATCACAATACTGATATTTTGTGCAGCTCTAGTGCTCATGTACTGTTGAGAGAAGTGCGTTTTAGTGGCCCAGAAATTTCTGGTATTGAGGAAGTGCTTCTGGTGAGTTGGCAGTGTGTTGTGTGTTATACTAAGAGCTCGTCATGCAGATGCCTGCTTACTATGCTTGTTTTGCATGAGTGTGTGCATATGTTCGAATTGCTGACCACATGAGGACCAAGGCCCAGTCTTGGGAAGC